CGGGGGTATGGGGGTCTGTGGGTCTGGGGGTCTGTGGGTCTGGGGGTCTGTGGGTCTGTGGGTCTGTGGGTCTAGTCAAGTGGGTCTATGGGTCTGGGGGTTTGTGGGTCTGGGGGTTTGTGGGTCTGGGGGTTTGTGGGTCTGGGGGTTTGTGGGTCTGGGGGTTTGTGGGTCTGGGGGTTTGTGGGTCTAGTCAAGTGGGTCTGTGGACCGGTCATAAACCTGGTTGGTAAGGATGGTCCATCAGTGACGTTGTTTGGTCCATCAGTGACGTTGTTTGGTCCATCAGTGACGTTGTTTGATCCATCAGTGACGACGTTTGGTCCATCAGTGTGTTGGTCCATCAGTGACGTTGTTTGGTCCATTAGTGACGTTGTTTGGTCCATCAGTGACGTTGTTTGGTCCATCAGTGACGTTGTTTGGTCCATCAGTGACGTTGTTTGGTCCATTAGTGACGTTGTTTGGTCCATCAGTGACGTTGTTTGGTCCATCAGTGACGTTGTTTGGTCCATCAGTGACGTTGTTTGGTCCATCAGTGACGTTGTTTGGTCCATCAGTGACGTTGTTTGGTCCATCAGTGACGTTGTTTGGTCCATCAGTGACGTTGTTTGGTCCATCAGTGACGTTGTTTGGTCCATCAGTGACGTTGTTTGGTCCATCAGTGACGTTGTTTGGTCCACCAGTGTGTTGGTCCATCAGTGACGTTGTTTGGTCCATCAGTGACGTTGTTTGGTCCATCAGTGACGTTGTTTGGTCCATCAGTGACGTTGTTTGGTCCATCAGTGACGTTGTTTGGTCCATCAGTGACGTTGTTTGGTCCATCAGTGACGTTGTTTGGTCCATCAGTGACGTTGTTTGGTCCATCAGTGACGTTGTTTGGTCCATCAGTGACGTTGTTTGGTCCATCAGTGACGTTGTTTGGTCCATCAGTGACGTTGTTTGGTCCACCAGTGTGTTGGTCCATCAGTGACGTTGTTTGGTCCATCAGTGACGTTGTTTGGTCCATCAGTGACGTTGTTTGGTCCATCAGTGACGTTGTTTGGTCCATCAGTGACGTTGTTTGGTCCATCAGTGACGTTGTTTGGTCCATCAGTGACGTTGTTTGGTCCATCAGTGACGTTGTTTGGTCCATCAGTGACGTTGTTTGGTCCATCAGTGACGTTGTTTGGTCCATCAGTGACGTTGTTTGGTCCATCAGTGACGTTGTTTGGTCCACCAGTGTGTTGGTCCATCAGTGACGTTGTTTGGTCCATCAGTGACGTTGTTTGGTCCATCAGTGACGTTGTTTGGTCCATCAGTGTGTTGGTCCATCAGTGACGTTGTTTGGTCCATCAGTGACGTTGTTTGGTCCATCAGTGACGTTGTTTGGTCCATCAGTGACGTTGTTTGGTCCATCAGTGACGTTGTTTGGCCCATCAGTGACGTTGTTTGGTCCATCAGTGACGTTGTTTGGTCCATCAGTGACGTTGTTTGGTCCATCAGTGACGTTGTTTGGTCCATCAGTGTGTTGGTCCATCAGTGACGTTGTTTGGTCCATCAGTGACGTTGTTTGGTCCATCAGTGACGTTGTTTGGTCCATCAGTGACGTTGTTTGGTCCATCAGTGACGTTGTTTGGTCCATCAGTGACGTTGTTTGGTCCATCAGTGACGTTGTTTGGTCCATCAGTGACGTTGTTTGGTCCATCAGTGACGTTGTTTGGTCCATCAGTGACGTTGTTTGGTCCATCAGTGACGTTGTTTGGTTCATCAGTGACGTTGTTTGGTCCATCAGTGTGTTGTTAGGTCTATGTGTTGTCCTAAATATTGGGCCAGGCATTCAATAATCCTGTATCGGATAAGTCGGGGTTTAGCAAGACTTAGCCCCCCCCCCCTTCCCCCACCCCCGCCATAGTGACCATCACACATCATGAGTTGTCTATTGATTTCGCTGTTCGGGTTCTAATAAAACACCCGCCATATAAATCACGTGACACGGGATTATTGGCGAGTTGACCGGAAGTAGATTTATTCTACACCAGGACTGGCTGGTCGCGAGAGGCCGGTTGTGTCCGGTTAAACAACCTGGTTCTGACATAGGTAAACTGGTTAAACAACCTGGTTCTGGCATGGTTAAACTGGTTAAACAACCTGGTTCTGGAAGGGTTCAACTGGTTAAACAACCTGGTTATCGAAGGGTTCAACTGGTTAAACAACCTGGTTCTGACATAGGTAAACTGGTCAAACAACCTGGTTCTGACAAAGTTAAACTGGTTAAACAACCTGATTCTGACACGGTTAAACTGGTCAAACAACCTGGTTCTGACAAAGTTAAACTGGTCAAACAACCTGGTTCTGACAAAGTTAAACTGGTTAAACAACCTGGTTCTGACAAAGTTAAACTGGTTAAACAACCTGGTTCTGACATAGTTAAACTGGTTAAACAACCTGGTTCTGACATGGTT